GTTCGTGTCGCACGGCGTGGGGGTGCTGCCGCTGCTCGCGGAGAAGCGGCTGAGCCGGTCCCTGGCGCAGCTGCCGCGCCGCCTGCAGCTGGACGAGCACCGCGCCTCTCGGCCCCCCGAGTCGTTTTCGCCGCGACAAAAAAGTTCTCCGGACCGACGGGGCTCGTGTTCTTTAGATGCCAACGGGGCTGATGTTGTTTTTCTTCTTTTCATACCAACGTTATTTAACGGGGCTCATATATTTTTTGTACGTTAACGGGGCTCTCATGTGAATTAAATCCGGAATGTTTGGTTGTTTCCCTTTAACACCTATCCTGGACCGTGTTTTTTAATAGCCAACGGGGCTCAGGTGAATTAATCCGGAAGGTGGTTGCCTCCCGTTTAACCCATCCTGGACCCCCAAACGGAAATGGTTTGGCAAACCCCTTCTGTTTCCAGCTCTGCTTTGGCTTACGCGAGCACTTTTAGTTGCTCTGATTCGAGCACTTGTTTAATGAAAAAGATGCAACTCGAGCAGAAATATGCTTCCATGGGAATTGGATGCTTTGGAGTGCGTGTGATGCCAAAGCCCACACTCTCCGTGTAGCAGGGGGTGGGGCAATTTGCTCGAGCTGCGCTATGCAGGCCACAAACACGTGTTTAGTAGTGGAAACTTAATGGATCTGGACATGGCTGTGGATCAAAAATTGGTACCACAAATGGAACCCTGTTAAGACTAAAACCTGCGGTCCGCTGGTGGTTCAATTTTGACCCATACCCACAAGTTTCGCGCATTTTGACATTTTGGGGCTTGCAACCCGCAACCTCGCAACTTCAGCGCAATTTCCCGCAACAGAGCGCAATTGTATAAAGTGTCGGTGGGTCCGTTGTCCCGCGGCCAAATGCGCGCAAAGATATCCAGGTGCATGAAGCTGAAGATGCGCTCTCCACTGTGCACACATGTAGCATATTGAGGGAAGCTTGATGGGTTTGCGTGAGGTTTGGCACCTGCAACATGCAGTGATGCACAAGCAAGGGCGCTCACTCAAGCACTTGTCTGAATGGGGTTGACTTTGATAATGATATACAATGATCAAAGAATCAGAAAAGCCCAGGAAATTTGGCCACGTGGTACCTTTCGTTGGTTTGGGTGTGTCTTTTTTGACGAGACCTCCAACATGGTGGTTCTCCCTTTAGTTTTCCCTTCAAAACCAACCAAATGGGGTACCCTCAAAAGAAGACACACCCATTTGTTGTCTTCAGTGGTCGTGGTGGGGAAATATGGTGTTGGGTTGCCAACCGCTGTGAGTGGCCAAGGGAAGCCCTGTGAAAGTAATCTCGCCCCCTTAGAATTTCAGAGAAAAGTTCAGGGGGGGAGGCTTCTACGGGGCGAGGCTTGGATGCAAAACAAGCAGAAAAAAGCAAAAGGGAAAGAACAAGAAGAAAACCAATTTCCCTCGGCTGTCGCTTGGGCATGGGGATTTGCACCTAATTCAATTAATAAAGGAATATCTGGTTATTGTTTCCCCAATATCTTCCCCTAATAAAGTGATAGCTTGCTGCAAGTAACACCAATTGCTTTTCCGAACCTTCGGGGGGAAATTAGGATGGCGAAATTTGAAACCAATGACCCACAGCCATATATATATATACATACATATTCTTGCCAGGCGGTGTAACTGTTCAATTTTGGGGCCGTTCTACCATAAGGGGGAGCAGGATTTGTTCCTTGGAATGGCCCATCTGGTTTCTGGGGGTCCCCTCTGAAAGTATGCTTAGTGATTGAACCAGAATTCCAAACAAGAAGAACATGTTTGTGGCGTACCACGCCCGCTTTCCTCCCTGGACTGTTCCGAGCTGAACGGTTCCTTTGGTTTTTAGGTTCTTAATTTGGTTTAGTGGGGGTTCCATTCAGTTCCCACCAAGAGTTAAACTCTTAGCATGGGATGTGAAAACGGACAGCCCATCTCCACTTTGGTGCATTTTGCCAGGGATGTTAGGACTTTGACTTTTGGCCAACCAACGGGTTTTCCGTCTTAAACCAACTTTTAGCAGGGCTTCGCGGATTTCGCTACGGAGTCCATGTCCTTTGGATCCTCCAGTGGTTCAGCCGAAGCCACCCGTGAAGTGATCCGCTTGTCATTTGGGGCTGCGACAAAGCCCCTGACGTCAGGGTTTTGTCCAGGGAGAAGTTTCGGAGGGGCTTTCGCTTCGCCAAGTAGCGGGGCTGGGGGCTTCGTCCCAGCGACGAGTTCTTCGTACCCACGAGTGCGAGAGAGGCCGATGAAAAATGGCGTCTGACTCCGACAGAAACCAGGCAGGTGGCTTCCTTCAAGGGAATCCCACAGTTCAGTCAGTCAGTCATTCCCAGCTTCCCGACCGATTTCGAAAACCGGCAAGGATTTTTTTCAGTGGAAAACAACCTGTTGGGATTGAACCCCGAACAGGGTGAAGAAACCACCTAGTTCCCCTAGTAGTGCAGGGTTCCCCTACTGAAATCGACTACAGAAAAAAGAAGCGGTACAAACTTATTCTAACCTCTCTACTAGAGGACCTAGCCACAAACCAAAGATTTGTTGAATAATTGACAATCTTCCAAATCATCTGGTAACACATTGGCGGCTTCTTTCATCCCCCGAACAGGGTTAGCAAACCACTGAACGGGGGACATCACAAGTGGGTTCCCCAGAAGCCGAGGTGAGATGCATTTTGGTGATCTCAGCGCACTGGGAGACCAAAGGCGAGTTGGAGGCTCGCGCACTTTTTTTGCGCCGCACAAATCGGCGGCTTTGCCAAACCGTTTGAAGGGTCAGTTGAAAAGTTGTCGCCATTTGAAAGGTCATCCCTAGGGTTCCTTGCCCCCATGAAAAGACTGCATGGGCCAATTTAGATGAGAACAATCCTCAGGCAAACAATGGTGCTTTGAACCGCAGGGTCATGTTGTTCCCTCAGATGACGACCGCTTTCAGGTCATTTCCCCGGCAACCTGGGAAAAGGTTCAAGAGAAGCCCAGGAGTTTCGATCAGTTGCGTGAAAGGAAGTCTTTTTGTTAAAGGGCCTGGCAAAGATGCGCAAAAAAAACGACGCCTATAGATGCTTCTGGGTTCCCAGGCGTCCGGCTCCTTAGCTTTTGAGCTTAGGGTTTACTCCAGTTCGCCGACCAAAAGTTGAACTAGCAGGATGATTTGAGGACAGCCCGGACTTGATTGGATCGCCAGTTGATCTTTCGCTTGTTTCAACCAGCAGCTGCAACTGTTTTGGGGGCAAAGTGTCTGAAGAAAAACAGCGACCTGGCGATCTAGGGGATGCTTTGGATTTATCCGTCAGACCCTAATCAGAGGACCCCCCCAAACAATGTAGTCTTCCTCGCGAAAAGGACTAAGGGCAACCACCCTGCCAATTTTGTACCGTCCTCCGGATGAGTCCGAAGTTCCATTTTTGTTTGACCAACTTTGTGGTATCCATCGAAAGGCAGTTCTGCCCAACCCTGGCAGGTAAACCTAGTCTCACTTGCCCCAAGCCGATCTTTTGACCTTTTTGTCTCGCTTAGTCATGGCGACAAAGCGTCAACCTTTCCCAGTGATTCCATTTCATGAAAGTTGTTGGTTCCCCACTATAGTGGTAACTGGGATTGACTGGGTTGGATTTTCTGGGTCCTTTGGCCTCACATTCAGTCTCAAATGGTCTCGTGCTTGGATGGTATGGGAGTCCCCCCTGAAAGAGGGATCCCAACTTCCGCTTTCCTGTCCCTTGGCTGTCGCCTTGAAAGGGCCCCCGGAAAAGTGCGACTTCGCCAAAGTCTGGACATTGGGTGTGTCAAGCACAGCAGTCCTTTGTTGAACGGTTTCGAGGGAAGCAACGAAAGCAACCTGAACGAGGGCCAATCTTTTTTGAGAAGACCCTTTGACAAGACAACCTTCGGACATCAGCAACATGTAGGCTTGAGTTTCTTCCTTGCAATGTAGCACCCTAATCCCACGACGCCTCAAGTTCTCTGAGCCACTTGCCCAAAACCGATTCGGGTAGATGAAGGTGAAGGGGCAAACTTGCCATAAATTTGTGCCTTTGCCACCTACTTAATCCTTCACATCGTTCTGGGTGGATCGTTTTAATTCCGCGTTTTGATTATGACTCAAAGTTGCCTTAAGTTTCCCAAACCTCATTCCTCAACTGTTGAAAATTATGGGGTCGATGAACCCAAAGTTTCGTGGTTCGTTCAGGCCTTTTGACGCTTTCAGGGGTGATTTGGGCCAGCTTTCAGGGGTGGAAATTCGGTTTCAGGGGTACGTTGGGGATACCTGGGCTTGCGTGGGTGTTCAAGCAACTTAGCAAGTAAGTTGCAACCCTGGTGTCCCAGAAAGGTGTTGAATGCTGTGGATGCAAGGTGTGTTACAACCCGCCTAAGCTGGTTTTGCACCCAAGCTTCCCCAAAAAACACCAGAGCTTCCTCCATGTCCCTTGCAAGGGAACCTCGACACCTTGGGTTATGGAGGTCCCGATCACTCCCAGAAAGGTCCAGCCGATTTTTCGCGCGGGGCGGCGTCCCTTTCAACAGAAACCTCCAAATGCGGCGGATGGTGTCAATGGACACCTGAGCCACTTGCTCAAAACCCGAGTAAATGAAGGTTAGGGACAACCCCACCCATAAATAGCTTCGGATATCCGCCTTCTTAATTCTTTACATGGTTCTGGGTAGACCATTTTAATACCGGGTTTTGATTATGACTCTCCTGGGCTTAGGGTCCCAACAAAAACTCCCAGAGGGCTCGCCGAAGAGCGACGCCAGGTGACGCTGCGCCGCACCCACGCCCAAGGCCTCCTCTACGATTACGCCGGCGCGCCGGAGGAGGCATACGAGGCCGGGTCAACGAAGGAGATACAGTGGTTGCAAGCCTGGTGGAGCAATTTGGTTGCAAGCTGGTTGGATTTGAAGGAAATTGATTCACTACTAAAAATTGGTGTTAAATTGAAGGGCTAGGACGAAATGGTTGCAGCCCGTTAACATTTTCATGGCTGGCTTCCGGAGCTGCCTGCAATACAAATATTCACATTGTCACATGTAAACAGGGCTACTGTAATGCCCGCCTTAGTTGAAAATGGGGTAAGTAATTTGGTTGCAAGCCTGGTGGTTTTAGTGGGAGTTGATTCACTGCCAAAAATTTGCCCTGGTCTGAGAAGGAATCGATTCTCTAACTGCAAATATGGTTCTTCCTCAAAAGCATGGCGACGGGTTCTTCAAAAAAGTCACCTGCCAACTCGCGGGCACACCCGCAGGACCATACTTGCACGAGCAAACTCGCAGTGCGCACTTGAACAGAGAAAGCCTCTCTACTCCAAGTACCCGCTTTTTTCAGGGTATGACGTTGACCCTTTACTAAAAGTCGAGGTATTCACCGTGGAAAACCAGGTTTCCCCACAAATCCCTTGAAAAAAGGCGGGTACTTGGAGTAGGACATAATGATTCTTTCAAGGCGATGCGGTGCGCGAACCAACCCAAGGGATCGGCGTGGTCGATGCGGAAGGACTGCGAGTTTCTCGGCTTTCTGAGTGAATTGCCGGTGGATGTCTGCAAAAACTGGCGGATGGTTCGGCTTTTTGTGGAATGGGAACTACTTCAGTTGTGTGTTTGCCGGTAAAGAATGGGACACACATCCGGGAGAAACCAGGAGAGCGGTTGGAGAGGAGGTGGGTTTGCCTTCAGGTGTGTAGGCTGGTTTTTCAGAGTTTTGCCCGAATTCCCTGCAAAATAAGTGTCATTTCTCCCAGCAGAGATCCGTTCAATCCCGCAAGGGAAGATATCCAGAAAGACGGATGGTAGTTTGGCCGTTCTACACAAGGTTTGGGTTGTGGTACGGCATGCCCCCATACATCCTGCACAAAAAGGGGAGTTTCCACAGTGCCAGACTAAAACTTGGATTTGCCTAAGCATATCTGTTATTTCCTTTATTTGTTTCGAAGGGAATGTTTCACTACTGGACATGAGAAACGCACATGGAGGACATGTGTGTGTGTGTGTGTGCCCTTTTTGCCTCTTGGGTTTCAAAAAAATAAATCCTTCAATCCGCAGCACGTTGTCTTGCTTGTTGCGGCTCGGATCCGTCGTCGGTGCGATATGCGCACCAAACAACCAAACAACCCACCTGCGAAACATTCAGCTCCTCAAAGGGGAGAGAAGCAAGACGAGGGATGGTAGTCCGGATTTCCTCCCCCTTTGTAATCGTCGTTTAGTGGTGGCTGGAACCAAACTCCGTAGCGGAACATGTCTCAGCTGGACGTCGCTGGCTACAGCGAGCACTCCATGCCGCACTCTGAGAGCGCATCGCAGGTGCACCATCGATATCACCCACCTGGGGATGCTCAAGTGTACCTTGAGCTGCGTTCATCACGGTGAGGATGCATTTCTGGGGTCTTACGTGATGTTTTAAGGCTGACAACGCACTGTGGATGGACCAAGTCCGTTTCGCACCACCTAAGAAGCCCTGGAATGATGATTCCCGTGTAAATACCAACAAACAATGGCTTCTAATTTGCCCCAGGCGGGGGTCTTGAAGAAACAAATGCCCTGCCTTCACCTTCCTCTTTGTGCAGTCAAGAGGTTCATCTAGTAATCTTCGTTTGGGGGGGGGTTCCCTGGTATACCGAGAAAGAACCCAGGCCACCGACCTGGGGATATGTTCGCGGTGTTTTTCTTGGGGGCAGGCGGGTGTCAGCCCAAGTCGGGGGGGGGTCCCTTTTGATAGGGACGCATCCTGGGCCCCGAAGTCAACTACTCAGCTCAGTGCCGCATACCCCAAACATTTAAGAGCCACTTGCTCAAAACCGATTCGCCGATTCGGGTAGATGAACGTTAGTAAGGGGTAATCCCCTTGCCATAAATAGTTGCGGATCTCCGCCTTTGTAATTCTCGAAGCGTGGGTTCTGGGATCGCCATGTTGGTACCGGGTGTGGAACTCACGACTCATCTGGGGCTTGGGGACTCGGAGTTCACTTGTTCGGGCCAATCCGCTCGATCAGAACTGAGACGCTGGGGCTCATCAATGTTGGCCCCAGAGTTTTCCTGGAGCTCCCATCTCCGTTTTCCTCCAAAACTAGGTCCCCCAGTAGTGCCCTTTTACCTTTTCTTGGGAGGGTTCCCCTACTGAAATGAACAAGAAGGAAACAAGAAACGGTACCAACTTATTCTATCCTCTCAAATCTGGAGGACCTAGTTCTGGCATTGACCCACACATCTGACCTAGACGTGATCGGAAGCGAGGTAGGCTGAGGGTTTGGGGCGGGGCTCGACATCTCAGGTCCGGCTGGGTCTTGGACCTATTGGAGGCCAAGGGCATCGCGGCCAGGCACAACTCGGGCCGAAACCTGGCCACTCGGCTCGACTCAAACCGGACGGGGGGGGGGGGGGGGCTGACGGGGGGAGGCGGTGGCGTTTTTGGGGCGACCGGTAAAAATGCCAAGGGGAATCGCACTTGCCAGCTTTTCCGCCAAAGGGGATCCAAATGGGACCCGTGGTAAGCGGAATGGACGATTCAACCTGTGGTCCAGAACCCATAGCAAACCGCTCGCCACGGAAGTTGCAAAGTGGCGTCAAACCTTCCATTCGCGTAAGAATATTTTATATGTTCTCTTGTTGGTTGTTAAAGGGAATCCTATCACTACTGGAAATATCATTTTTTTGTTTTTCCAGGGGGCGAACACGCAAATGGAAAAAACAGTTTGGGGCCCTGGCAAACAGCAAATGGCAAACGGGTTTTTCGGATGCGAGTGGGCAGCATGTTGGCCACCCTTGGGTGTAAGAATCCGGCCCTATGCCCTAAAGGCTTATGAATTTCATTGTCAACGAGGGTCTTTTGGGCTGGGAGGGTCCTAAAGCTCTGGTAGGCTTGCTCTTGTTAAGGCAGAGCATGTCTTCTCTGTTCTTGGCACATGAATATGATATATCTTGGTGGCTCCCAGCCATCCCCTGAGCTTTTTAGCCTTTTCGTGTTGAGTGGTAGTTTCCATTTAACCCACTAAAAGTTAAACTTTTAGCGGGGGATCTGAGGGCAGCCCAGATATGTTTGGCCATGTTGGGGTTCCCTGCACAGGTAGAATGGGGTTGTCAGGTACTTCAAAGCCAAGCTACGTCGTGGGATAAAGATGTTTGTAGTTTGGGTGTGTCTCTTTAGGAGGGCACCCTGTTTGGGTTTGTTCTCATCGAGGAATCGAAAGGAAGCCCATGCCAAGGTTCTCGCACTTGGACTCTGTTCTTTGTCACAGGCCGCTTAGAATTTCGTCCATTTGCGTTTCCGTTTGGAGGTTATGTTCCTTCACTGGTGTTGGCATGTTTTAGTTGTTTAATCTTTCTTAGTCCTGTTCACACCCAGTTAACAAGAAACTCATGTGGTTTTGAAAAAAAAAGAGGAAGAAGCCTCCATTTTTCTTTTGGGGGCTCCCCTATCCTTAAGGAGCCCACAGGAGCTGCACCCGTTTAGGGCGTCCCTTCCCTTTTTGAATCGAGGACCACGGGGTCTTCGTGCCTCTGGTGCTTATGCAGCTGAGCTGCAGGTGGTGGGGGGTGTTGGTGCAATTCCCAGTGGGGACGGCGGATCAATTTTTAGCTGCTTTTGTAGGTTCCCTTTCATTTTCTTGGTGGCTCCCAGCCATCCGGTTCCTTAGCTTTTTAGCTTTCTTGTGTTTAGTAGGGATTTCCATTCAACCCACTTTCAGCTGCTTTTGTACCCAATGTTGACCCCCTATTAATCAACCCCAGTTTATTAATAGGGGGGTGTCCCCTCCAAAAGTGAACAATCCCCACTAAAACCAGGGACACCCCCATATTAGTAAACAGGGGTTTAGTACTAGGGGGTGTTCATTACCATGGCAAGCCAACTACCCCCAGTTAACCCAGTTTGCACCAGATATAAGTTGGGTTATCACCCACTTACTAAGTGGGTTGAACATGTTGAACATCCAAGTAAGGGTGCTGGCCCGTTTTGGCTTTGTTATTCCTGTGGCTCCCGAAGAAACCCCGAAAGGGAACCCTAAGCCTTTCATTTCTTTGAGTGCCCTGGCAAAAATAAGTCTATGTCCAGCACTGATAGATTCCTTCTAACCCCAACAGCGGAAAGCATCAACAAATTGAAACTTCCGCAAATGAAAGGTGCAACCACACAGAGCAAAGCAAACCCCAGCCTCGGGAGTCTTGAGCTGTACCCTCCTATTCTGGTTGCTTGTTTTGTCTCCCCGTGCTGGTTTTAAATCCAATTCCTATCTTATAGAGAGCTCACTTAGGGAGGTATAACGTGCTCACCGTGATAAAGGTCCTTTGCTTGGGGACTTCTTCGTTCAGGCTTTGGAACTATAGCAACAATTGCAGAATCGATCCCTACTGAGACACACACACACACACACTCCCTCACTCACTCACTCACTCGCTCACTCACTCACTCACTCACTCACTAATTACTGAACATATGTTTGCCAGTTTTTCCAGGGGACGGAACAAGCAAATGGAAGCTCCAGTTCCAGTCTCAATCCTTCTCAAAGGGCCCCCCTTTTGGGGATGCACGTCCCTTCGTTTGATGTACCGAAGGAAGCCCGCTGAGGGGAAGGGGTCTTGCGAGAGGAGCTGACGCCAGTTCCCATGGTTACCTGCCTTTACTGGGGGGAAGCCAGAACATGAGCTACACCTTGGCCCTATTACGGCCAGGGCAAGGCAGGTGCCAACAGAGTAAAACAGGGGTCAGGAAAGAAACATGCGGGTTAGGCCAGGCGTATCCCAAAATCAGTCGGAACCCTTGAAGAGTGGTTTGCCGGTCCCAGCTTTTACAACTAAAGAGGAAACATGGCTGGTTACCTATCATATCGGCAACTGGAATTTGGGTTGGTGTTGCTTTGGTTTTCCTCTGCTTCTCTTGGGTTGCTGCACCGCACATTCGGACCCATTTTTGCGTCCGTGTTTTTTTTTCAGAGGACATGGGCCAAGTGGGCTTGGACATGGGCCGAAGAAAAGCGCAAAGGTCTTGGTGTCCAAGTTTGACCTGCCCCCCCAACAAAATCGGAAGATGGTGTGAAAGTCTGGGCGCATACCCTGTCTACCACTAGCATAGCACCTGTAGAGCGCGCCTGGATCAATTTCCTCCTGAAGGGACCCCGAAACGTCAAATTCCATAACAACGTGGGAGGTAGGGCAACCTCTTTGCTTCTTACCACCCAGAGGGTCCCTTGGTACCTCCTGACAATGGCTTTTGGGGGTAGAAAGGGGTCGTTCAGTACCTCCTTAAAGATACCAGGCCCGAAAATGGATCGATTCATCTCCGGGCTTAAATGCCATCCGGCATTTTGGGGAACGCCTTTTCTGCGCGGCGAAGTTCCCTTTGCTTCGCCTTATGGCCGAATCCGGATCGATGGTGCCAACATGTTTCAAAGGGAAGCTTGATTTGTTTTTGAAGAGGGTGTTCACTTCGGCTGGCCGGCCCATTTGGGCAAGCTTTCTTTTGCAGGTGTCCTTTCTCACCCTTCGAAAGACTTGCGGAGGTTTGCCGCATGCTCCCGACACACCCAACCAACAAAGCATCGGAGCCCAGGTGAGATCCCCAGCCGCGGAACTCCGCGGAACCCTTTTGAACCTTCCCTGAGCCACTCCAGGGCCTATGCAGCCCAAGGCTTCCAACTCCCGGGGGGAACAAATCTGGCGGTGTTCAACATGGCTCCTGAAAACAGATCGATACATCTTGCCTGCCCAATTGAAACATGTGGCTTTTTCAACACCAAGACAAAGGGAAACCGCCATTTACAAGTTGCAATGTTCAGGTGTATAATGTAAGGATCCCTGTTCAACTCTCCGTTTCCCAAACAGAACCACAGCACGCGGAGGAGGACCACCCGAAAAAAGAGACCTACCCACAATTGACATGCCGGAGCTTCGATCCCTCTCAAGGCGTTGTGTCCTGTGGGGTTCAAAGGGAATCTATTTTTACTACTGGACATATTTTCTCATTTGTTTTCCAGAGGGCGAACCAGCAAATGGAAGCAGAGCTTCCTACACGGCACGGCCCAAGGCCAACTTGGGGCTGACCAGATCTCGGGTTCATGCCAAGCCCTAGGGCCCTTACGGTACTCGAAATTTGAGAATACATCACCTGAGTCATAGTCAAACCCGATCGGTACTAAAATGGTCCACCCAGAACCATGCTTCAAGAATTAAGAAGGCGGAGATCCGCAGCTAGCTATGGCTGGGACTGCCCCTTATTAACCTTCATCTGCCCAGGTTTTGATTGTGGCTCACCTGGAACAAATAAAGCAAACAGTTCCAGTACACCAGCACCAGGGTCCCAACCACTCCAGGGGTAGCTTCCATTTCCATTCTTTCCAGGGATCCGAATCTTTCTAGAACACCACTAAAAGCCCTGGGGAACCGGCGATCGATTTTGAAAAGACCGATGGCTGAAAAGAATGGACAAGGAATCAACCCCCAGAACCACTGCTTCTTGGACACCAAGCAGATTTGAAAAACCTGGTAGTGATAGATTCCCCTTGAAGCCCAACAGCCTGCTTCTTGGACAGTACCAAGAGGATTTGGAGAAAAAAAAGGGAAACAACAAACACAAAAACGAAGAAAACGGCGACGCCTCGCTCTCGCGCGAGGTCGGAGCTGCGGAACGTGCCGGTGGTGCAGCTGAGTTTGCCCGCGCTCTCCGGGCAGCGCGGCACGGAGGCGGTTGAAACAAAAAGTGTTCGCTGTTGGATCAGGTGTTTTTTTGTTTGGTTTCCTGTCGTTGTGTTTGTTCTAATTGTTTGGTTCTGATTATTATTATTATTTTGTTCTCTGGGTTTTTGAGTTGTGCGGTTCTGTTCTTTTCCTTTTTTTGGTAGGCTGCAGAAGAAAAATAAAAACACAACACATTTTTTGCAGGCCCAGACCATGGCTTGGACAGATTGCATGTTTTTTGGGACCCAACGGAGCCATCAGAAGGGCGAGCTCGTTTTTCTACCGGTACCTTCCCCATTCTTTCCAGGGATCCGTCTTTTCGAGCAACCATCAAAAAACCCAGGGGAAACAGCTGGGCTTTGAAAAGAACGAGAGTTGAAAAGAACAGACAAGGAATCAACCCCTAGAGTTTTACCACCTTGCGAGGGTCGCCAAATCTTTCATTATCCCAGATCCATCCTGGTTCCAGAAATGCCGCGCCTTTAAACCGAAAGCTCCTTAAATACCCCACGTGTTCTTCTCATGTGCCATGCAAATCCCTAGGTATTTACCATGGCATCCTTTTCACACAACAAAGCTTGTTGCTACCATACCAAGCGCCTTTTCAAACCAAAAGAGAAGCATTTTTTTGGGTCATTATGTCAATCCCTGACAAAAAAATCGTATGTACTTGTTATTTTTTGTTTTGAAGCCTGAAACATCAAGTGTTTGAAGTAGGGGGTATAGCAATCGCCCCCCCCCCCCCCAACAAAAAAATAAAAAAGAAGAAAAACAGAAAAAGGCAACCAACGGAGTCCCTAGAAATCTCAGTTAACATAATCGTTCCATCTTCTGGCTCTTCGTTTATTTGAAGTCCGCTGTTCCAATCCGTTCCAGCCGAGTTCCCTAGAATTCCGTGTCCCATGGGCCCATGGGTAGGTCAAATTCTGGGACCCTCCGAGCTCCCCAGCAGGGGGGTGACCCAAAGGTGGCGCCCTGGGCCTGACCAAATCTTCTTCTTCTTGTTGTTGGCATGGGCCGGCATGGTTTTTTTTTGTGTTTTTTGTTTCTCTTTTTTTTGGCCTGGTTCATTTTTAGTTAGGGGATGCAAACAACAAAGTGTTTGGCTATCATAACAAGTGTTGGAAAGAAGACCCAAGCGAGTTTCTTCTAATCGCCTAAGAATATGTTTTCTCTTGGTGTTCAATGGAATCGATCTCACTACTGGACATATGTTCATTTGTTTCCAGTGGCCGGGGAAAAAAAACAAGCAAACGGAAGGTGTCGGTTTCGCAAAAGCCCACTTTGGAGGTGGCCAAGCACTGCCTGGAGGCGCGGACATGGGTTCGAACCCTTGCTAGGACTGACAGTCAGGCAGCTTAGGACCCCAACATGGCCGGTTTGTTCGTTGAGTCATGCGCCGGCGACTGAGAACACAGCGAGGTTATAGCGATGATTGGAAGGGTGTGTCCTTTGTTTGGGGGTAAGTTTGGCCCCGGATGAATGAACCCCTGCATAGAAATATGGGAGTGTTCGGGTTTGGCTTGTTGGGAGGCTCATTGGGGTACCCCCGAAATGCCCGAGTTTCCCGTGAAACCAAACTCTGAAAAGGGTACCCTCAACAACATCAACAGACCCTTGTGGAGCCACAATCAAAACCCGGGCAAGTGAAGATCATTTTTTAAGAGACAAACCCGACCATAGGTGCTGATATCTGCGCTGTTGATGCTTTGGTCCCCCATGCGAATTCGCACCCATCTCACCCATGTGATGTTTAATCGGGGACCCGGACAGGGCGTCGAAAAGCCGGTCAGTCCCGGATTCATGTGCACCAACCACTTCTTTGGTGTATCTTGCTTGGATCTTGGCACTTTTTCTACTTTTTGCCAACTAGTGGGTTTTCCGTATTAGACCACTAAAAGTTAAAAAAAAAAAAAAAAAAAAAAAAAAAAACCTTTAGCAGGGCTTCGCAGATCTCGCAACTGAGACTTGTGCAGCTGTGGTTTGTCATGTTCATTTCCCGCTCCCCGAGCCTTTGGACCGCCTTTTTGGTTTGGGCCATGGCCAAGAGCTCGGATTTTGTTCGCCAAACCATTCGGGAACGTGAGAATCTCCTGGCCATCTGTTGATTAGCCTTTTTCTGTGCTTCCAGGCATGCCGCTATAGGCCACCATAGCTAACTAAGGGAAACCATGATGTAAAACCTAGAGGTAAGGATTTCGGGTAATCGACCTTCACTGTTCTTGGCGGTGTTCATGCTTAGTAATTAGGGTGTTGAACAAAAAAGCAGGTTTTGCTACCAGCCTCAAGCTACTGTACATCGGACGCACTGGGCATAAATGGCGGTTGATCACAAGGTCCTATGGGGCATGGACATGCAGAAAGTTACCCATGGTCAAAACTGGGGGTTGATGTTGATTCCCCAAAATATACACCGTGACAAACGTTATGGTTTCATTTCGTGGTGATTTCCAAGGGACTTCGATCCGCAGTATCTCTCCGATTTGCCCGGTGCAGCTGTTTTCCTTTTGGTGTTTATTTGTAGCCTGGTTCTCATGGTTTCCTGCCTGTAAGGTTGAATTTAAATTGCTCTGGTTGATGAACACGGGGGTGTGCTCGCTACAAATCGGGATTCAGGCCACTTTTGGAGGGAATATTTTCCGAATAGGACAGGTTCCACTTAGATCGGGGGTCAGCATCGCCAGGATTTTTCTGGTTATTCTAGGGGTTGTTTCCTTTTCCATTCTTTTCAACCATCCTTCCTTTCGAACACCCGCCGTTTTCTCCGGGTTTCTGGAGGTTTGCTAGAAAGATCCGGATCCCTGGGTTCAGAATGGGGGAGGTACCCCTAGAATCACTGGGGAACACTGTAGTAAAAAGGAACAACAACTAGGTGCTCCAGATTTGAGAGGTTAGAATAAGGGTACCGTTTCTTTTTTCTGTAGTCTATTTTAGTAGGGAAGGAGGTACCCCTAGAGTTCTTGTTCGCCAGGTGGGTCGGGCGTTGGCTCCGCTGCGGTTGGGGCCCCACGCTGATGGCATCAGATGGCCCAAGGCAACGGAAGACTCAGGTATGTTTTATGAGTGGAGTCTCCATGCGTAGAAAAAAATGGGGGTCAGTCATGACCACAAACTTGTTGCCGACTTTTAAAGAGTGAAAATGGGGGGGCAGTCATGACCACAAAAACATGTTGGCGTTTGATTGTCCCCTTTTAAAGGGGTCAGAAGGAGACTCCAGATGGTTTTCTCTGGATTCATGTGGGTTCTGGGGTCTTCGTTCTGACCTCCTTAGAGGTCTGAAAGTTGCTTAACAGCCTCAGAGGGGTTATCATCACGAACATGCAACCCACCGGGGTTCTTACCATGTTCCTGTTAAACCAGGTCATGTTTGTTTGTTTGTTTGTATTTTTTTTCGGCAGGGGGTCCAAGTCTGGTCAAGTATCAATACCACTTAAAGTAAGGCGAAACCAAACCAAACCCGAAACCACCAAACCCACCAACCACCAAACCACGAACCCAACCACCAAACCAAACCACATTTGGAACCAATCAAAGAACCCATGGTGACGAAAAGCAGAAGAAGGGTCTTCCTCCTTTCTGGTGGTGATCCAACGAAATTGATTCAGAACCACTCAAACAGACCCAGTGATCCAGTGTATTTAAAAAAAAGAAACAAGTTTTTAGTGGGGATTTCCATTTAACCCACTGAAAGTTGAACTTTTAGCGGGAGATCTCAGGGAAAAAACGCACAAAAACCAGAAAACCACGGTCTTCGCTCTTGTTTGGCTTCTCAGAGGTCTCGTGGCGTGCTGATCCTCGGCAGCGGCCTCTCCTCCAACCCGGTGAGACCACAGCGCCTCGAGAGGCGGATGCGGAGGATCGCTGGATGCGGTCGACTTCCATTTGGGCCTGTCTTTTCTCGTTTCTTTTTTTTTTCTCTCGGGAAGGGGACAAGGACCAGGAGAACCACATTTGTGTTGTTGTTGTTTTTGTTTTTTGCGGGGGGGGACCCCCCCTTTTTCCTTGGTTTGATAAAGAAGCCAAAAAAGAGAACCACTTTTTTTGGTTGGGTCCAGATCCCGGATGATTTTCGAGAGAAGGGGTTTCCGAAGCACCCAGACATTTCACCTAAAGCAAGGCGCCGACAACTTGTTCAGAGGTGTCCACCAGCAGTCAGGTACCCCGTTGGGTTTGAACCCTGGAAGCTTCCATTTGGGGCTGTCTTCTTTGGGGGACCCCTTGGAAGGGAAACCATAAAAAGGAACACCATACTTATTGTTGATATTGTTGTTTTATTGTCGTTTTTGTTTTTTGGTGTTTCGGGTGTGTGTGTGTGTGGATCAGACAACGGACAGCATGCGGCACAGAATGCGCTTTCTATCTGGAGATTCAGCCCAAGAGCGGCCGGGGTGCCCAAGCAAGCCTTGGGTTTGCTTGCTGTTCCTTTGCGGTGGAGCTTCTGAGGTGTTTTTTTGTTGGAACGAGCTCACCATGGTAAAGATCCATGGCTTGGATCTAACTCTTACTTCAGCTTATGGAATTATGGTAACATGCGCAGATACAGGAATCACGGGTTAGGGAGCCACGGTTTTGTGAAGGTCTTGGGAGAACGGGCTTACACCATCTACATATCAGTAAGGCTGGTCTTTGGGCTGAGGCGGCTTCTGAATATACCATTTATGGAAGGTGTGTGGGTGTAACCGCGGTCTCCTCCAAAACTGTTTCGTGTGCTTGTTGTTTGTTGATGTCAGCATATATAGAGTTCAGTTGAACGCTGCCCATGAAGCTGCCACATTCGTTTGGATATACTAAATGTAAAGCAGACTGAGAGCATCTTATTGTTTAAGGTCTTTCTCACAGCCCCAAGCACTTGGGTGCGAAAACCAACGTCAAATGAGTAGGTTGCAACTTCATGGTGAGATAACTTGGGTAAAAGTTTGGTCGTCCCCTTACCCAGTTGCCCAGTTGCCCAGTGGATTCCGTCTTTTTTTCTGGGAAGGGTTCCCCTTTACAAAGTCAAGCAATCAAGAAAGGATGTTTGTTTTTTTTCCCATGGCCACTGGGCGAGGGGGCTATAACCTACTGACCTGCCGTCGGTGGTTCACACCTTGCCTCGGCTTCTCGGCTTAGCTGCGGCCTTTTCGACGCAGGTGGACTGAGCGACTGAAGCATCTCTGTTGCCAAGCACCTCCATCCGAGCGCCTCTTGGCCCGGCGTATTGTTATTGTGATAATATCATTACTAGTATTATTGTTATTTATTAGTATTATTATTATTATTAATATTATTAATATAATTATTATGTTTTATTATTGTTAATTAGTATGTTTGTTTTAATTGTTTACTGTTTATTTGTTTATTATTATTATTCATTATTATTATGACTTATTATTACGATTATTATTGTTATCATGTTCCCTGGGCCGTTTCATCCGAAATCGGACATCGGGCGGAAGAGATCCGCACGTTTCTGAAGATTGAGCATCCACTGCTATACGTTCATGTTTCCTGCCTGGATTCCTGGTCCTGTCTCACAATGTGTTCTATTGCGTTTTGGCCACTGTGTGGGGTTGCTTGTCGGGACAATACGTTGGAATGGTGTGGCTGGTATCGCATCCGAGCAAAGTGGCTCAGTTTCCACTGCCATCAGAAGACTTTGAAGGCTCAAGTTTTACACAAACAGCGAGGTGGCCCTTCGAAAACATGCAAGCATTTCTCATGCAAAAAAGATACCCAACAGAAAGCGTAGTAATATAGCAACAACACTAGCAATATAATAATAATCATCATCATCATCATCCCCGTCAAGTGCAAACAACGTATGTTACAGGGAAAAGCATCGACCAAACGAGCACTCCAAACACACATCAAAGCAATCAGCCCAAACAGAAACGCCTTTGAATACGGCAACAACAGGTAGAAAACAAAACATGTGCAACAATCACATCTTCAAAACAAACTTAAGACACACACCCACATGCTATTAAAGCAAACAATGCACATCCTTGTACAACACGTCCTTAAGAGAAGCCACACATACTTTAAGCACGCATCCTTGAAGCATCCTCACACAATCATCCTTCAACACAGGTCCTGGACACAGCATTGTCCTTAAAGACCGAACTTTGCATTGTGGGTCAACATTTGGCACCAGCTCGTATTTGGGCCATTTACTAGAATGATGATGTTGGAACATATTGAAATCCTAGCTTAACTGAGATCTCCTCCAGAATGTTTACATTCTGTGGTACACTACATAACGAGCAGGGTCAAACATATGCGTGTTTGTATATATATATATACATGAGTGTATACCCCTTTGTGTGCCAAGAGGTTACGAGCTAAGCTTCTCTAAATCACACCCCCATCTTCAAGGGATCCCAAAACAGCCCCCCCCTGTCCCAGACGCATCCCTTAGAGAAAGACTGAACGTGTATCCATGTTTGGAGGGGTGGTGGTGGTGTGTTTGGAGGGTAGGAAACGCTCTTTGGCTAAGCTTTTGGGCGAGCAACAATTTGACGCATATGCCGATCTCGATTGGAAGCAAGTTTACCCAGATTCCAGTAGCAGTAACCCTTTGCCATTTTCCTCTTTGTGTTTCTCACTGGGTTAGGCTGAAGAGTTGAAGACTTCTCCCGTGATCAGGACATATCAGGACAATCATCGGATCGCATCCCAAAAGAGCCCATTTGGTAGAACCCATCGAGGATTTGGCTGGAGTTTTCAGAGCTGGGCGCAGGTGTTAGTCTTTCCACTTACAAAGGGGGAGCACTTCTCGACTTAAGATGGTGGTGGACACACGTTTTGAAGGGGGCCTCACCATCGAGTAACCAAGAGGACTGGAAACGGAGCTTTGCAACCTGGAAAAAATCGTGCCGAAGACTGTGAGAGGGGCATGGTTGGGATTCCATTTTTGCTCGCAGCTTTGTTTCCCACCTTAATCTTGGTACCATGTTTTGATGCCTAGCGCGTGTACAAGGAGCAAATTGTAGCCGAATGTATGCGAACATTACCCAGTGTCTTTTTTTAGGGAAACCCCTCATATATATATATATATATATACAAGTGTTGTTCTTTAGGTTTCCCTTTATATACAACCCGAAAAGGAGTACCGTCAACAGCAGAACCACTCGCATGTAATCAGGTGTCCCCTCGTTGGCGGTTTGGATTCGTGATTTCGGGATCGCTCAACCACCAAACCACCAGGCTTCAAACCACAACGTAGAGGGAAGCTGATGTAACGAGAAGCCAGAATGTCTAGGGACTGATTCCAGCGCATCCTTGCACCACACCATGTGATTTTCTGGGTGTATCTGCTTTAGGAATCAGACCCACAAAAAAGGGCGGCTTTCCCTTTGGGTTTCCGCTCAAAACCAACCAAAAGGGGGTACAAAAACAGACGAGTCACACACATCTCTGTAGTTCCCTGCCATCTGGTTCTTGAGCTTGTTAGCTTTTTAGTGTTTAGTAGGGATTCCCATTTAACCCACTAAAATGGATGTTAGGACTTGAACTTTTTGCCAACTAATGGGCTTTCCATTGAACAACTACAAGTTAAACGTTTAGCAGGGGGAGCAGAAAGCAACCGAGTAAAGAATAAGTTTCCTTGGTCCAAAGAAGGATCCTTGAACGAACCGGAAAAAGCAAAGAACGGAAGAGCCTGAGACCGATGATTCATCCCTTTTCATTTCACTTCACCCACATGTCTAGCCAGAACTTCCCCAGAATTAGCTCCCCTTTTTGACTTGTTTCTCTTTTTGGGGGTTCCTTGGTTTTCCACGAGCCAGGCAAATATATATATATATATATATACATATATATATATATATGTATATTTTGCCGGGGTCCGAATTTTTTTCCAGCCGAGTGACGTGGGTCCAGAAGCCACGTTTTTTCGCTCGCTCGGCTCCCAGGCTATGCCGGGCTTCGCCAGTGGACCTCAGCCATCCCTCATGCGCGGGAGGCGAGCGGTCGGGATCGGGTGGAGGGAAGAAACCGGCTGGGCTGGCTGAGGGCCGGTTTAGAGGCAGGGTTTCTGGGTGTTCGGTGTGTGTGTGTGTTTGTTTGTTTTGTGGTTGGATGATGTGTTTAGATGGTTTGGAGCTGGTGTGGTTTTGGAGTGTTTTGGAGTTGAATTATTTGTGTAGTTGTGAGGTGTTTTAGATCCGTTTAGGTAAGTTTAAGCAGTCTTAGGTTGTTTTAGGTAGTGTTAGGTGGTGCTTGTGATTTTCTTTAAACAACAAGTTTTAGATGGGTTTTTAGTGAGTGGTTTGAGTGTCCGTCGAGTTGAGTGGCTTCATGTGGTTATTGAGTGTCTTTTGAGCGGTTCAGGCTGTTTTCAGGCGGTTTCAGGCGATTTAGGTCGTTTTGTGAGTGTTTAAGCGGTTTTACACAACGTTGGGTTGTGAAATATGTGGTTTTAGGTGGTTTTGGCACAACTCCACATGTAGTTGTAGGTTGCAAAAAATATGTGAGCGGCAACAGCACTGTTTCAACGAGCAGACCCATCTCCCATTTTATGGAATCCCTAAGGGGTGTACAAGGCATAGTTGAGAGCCCCAGGCTCCCTTAGGGTGCCGTACTGTGGATGGACGAAATCCATTTCGCACCGCTTTGAAACCATGGTTGAATGAAACCATTTTTGGCTGGAAGTTGCAAGGGGATCTATCAGACACCAGAGGTTCTTAGGTGCTGCGAAATGGAATTCGCAACCATACCACTTGGTTCTTGTGTGGCTGGTATTTGCAAGGGGAATTTCCTAGCTTCCAGGGCTTAGGTGGTGCGAACTGAGTTTCGTGAATCCATGGTAGGGAGGCGCGGGATTTTGTCTTTGGACCATTTCCTTGGCTCCATGAGGCATGTTCCCGATTGGCCGAGGTGCACGGCCGGGAGGAGCATTTGCTGCCGCTGCACGTCGTGGTAGGCGCGCCGAGTTTGGTTTTGTTCGCTGAGGGTTCGGGGGTTAGGGCTGGAAGGTTGGGAGGTTGGGGGGTGCTAACCTGTCAGGTGATTCTGGATGTGGTTAGATTTGAAGCCTTGGCTCTTGTAGAGGGATGGGATATCATCCTGGAACACCTCCACCAATCCAAGTGGGAATGGCGCCTGAGTCATCTTGGTGGTTTCCTTTAACTTGGGTGTTCAACCGACTTAGTAAGTGGCTGAAGGCCCACGTTGCCTTTGAAACCCATCGATTCATCCCCAGCTGCAGTGAACACCCCCATCCTTAATGGAGCAACGCCCAACACACTGTTGTTCAGTCTAGCAGTTGGTTCTACCTGCCTTCATATGGCTTTAGAGTCAGGCCTATATGGGTGTTGCTCAAAATTCAACAGGAGGGATTACACAGGTTTTGGTCCATGTTTCCACTTACCATAGGTCCATTGTGGTACCTGTTTTTTGAGCCACAGCCATATCAACCTTCATGACCATGGTTGGGCACTGCTCACCTGTGAAACAGCCCTGCGGGGGTTGGGGCGAGCTGAAAACCGGAGAGGGCTGCTTTGCACCCTGCTGGAAAGACGACCTTTGTGTTGCGGATGTTGTCCCCAAAGCGGAAATGGTTTTCCTGGTGTCCCCTCAACGAACGCAAGTGGGCAACCCTGGAGTCTTGCGGGGCTTGGTCCCCCGTTGCTTCCATTTGCTGAAACGAATATGTTATAATTTTCCCTTGTTCGTTGTAAAGGGAATCTATAACTACTGGAAATATGTTCTTTTTTTTCCAGGGGGCTTAAGCAAATGGAAGGTTACTGCGACCATGGTTCCCTGGCGTTGGTCGAGGACCAAAGCTAAAACCAAACAGGGGCTTCCCCAAACGAGGCGTGGCTGGAAGGGTTCAACGAACAGTTTCAACCTTTCCAGCATGTTCCATGTAGGGTGATTTTGGGATGAAACTGGAGAGCCGATACTGGGATTGTACCTCCATTTTCCGCGGTCTCCACAACTGCTTCAGTGTTTGTATGTTTAGGGCGTGTTTCAAAGGTAGGAACTCGTTTTTTAAGGGTTGTAAGGGCAGCAACTTGTTTTTGGCCCAGCTGTTTGGAATACACGTGTTGTTGGGGTTAAGCACATTTCTTCCATTCGCTTGCGGCAGAGAGTGTTCGTGTGCTGATGGGGGCCAAGTTGGGGTTCGCCTTCAACTGCTTGGCGGATGTTCTTGTTATGGCCACTGAAAGCCACTTCAAAGCTTCTTGCTTGAGACACTTCAGAATATGGTTTTACTTCCCCCCTGAAAATCTCAAGGGAATAGGTCATTACTGGAAGTTCGTTGACTGCTGCTGGGTGGGATCCTTTAGACTTTAACTTTTTGGGAAATGAAGGGGTTTTCCACTAACCCCCCAAACAGTTAAGCTTTTTGCAGGGGGGTCAACAGCAACCAAGGTGCTTTGATTTCATTTTCCCAGGCGAGGAACAAACGCAAACGGCGGATTTGGCTCACCGACCTTCGGGAACACCAACGCCTCGAGGCGCCGCGCTGGATGACCCTGGCGAGGCGTCTCCAGAGTTCTCCCCTAGAAATCAACATGGAACCATAGCTTGGTGGTTCCCAACTATGTCTCTAGCTTTACTAGGTTCCCCAGTGCCCTTTTACCGTTTCTTTTTTGGGGGAGGGTTCGGGACCCTACTAAAACAGACTACGGAAAACGGGCATCCTTATTCTAACCTCTCTACTGGAGGACCTAGTATATAGCTTTTGGGTTTAGTGGGGGGTTTGTCATTTAGCCGACTAGTAGTTAAACTTTTAGCAGGTGATCTGAGGACAGCCCAGTTCAGAATGGAATTGAGGGGAGGTTTTTTTTCACTCCTGGAGATCTCCGTTTGTGCATTCCCCATTTTCCCCGGAGTACTAAGAAATGAAACTGGGGGAACCCCCACCCCCTCCCCCTTAAGGTAGGGGTGATATGGAGAAAGAAAAACAGAGGGGTCCCCAAAAATGAGATTTCTCTAAACATGGGCGTTTTGGGGGCTCGGTGTTCATCTGTAGTGTACTCTGAGAATCCAGCTAAAACGAAAGTTCTGCAGGACAGCGACTGATCTTTTCGTGGTATTTGTCAAATGTCCTGTAGAAATTCCATGACGCGCTCCAGATGTTTGCCACGCGCCACACTTCGAAAACCTAAAGAAAACCTAAGGAACGCGCAACAAAACCGGGAATGCCGGTGAGCCAAAAAGACCCACGCCTAAAAACAGACGTTCAAGGATCTGTGTTTTGTGTTTGTGTTTTTCAGGATTTGGACTCCAAATGGCTTCCTTTAAATTTATGTAAAGCGGGTTTCAGCCATATGGGTTTGTGTTTTTCAGGAGTTGGACCCACCCCCCATGGCTTCGGTGGTCCGGGTGGTTTCCCATAAAACCCATCCAAAACGATGCTCCCTCAAAACAAAGCACAGCCATTTGGGCCAGCGAAAAAGTCGCCAGCTGTTTCACTTGGTGGATCTCGCCTACCCCAGCACCCAATACCCACCCTTTTCAGGGTATGATAGGATATGATGTCAACCCTTGACTTAAATAGGTATCTACTGTGGAAAACCATGTTTTCCAAAACACAAAAAAAGACAGCAGGTATTTGGAGTGGCGGGTATGATGGGATGCTGCTCGGCATTCTTTTTCGCAATGCACGGTGTGCCCGCCGATCCTAGATCGGGTCTTTCTGGGGGACGCATCCCACTTGTTTCTGTTTGGAGGGTACCCTTTTCTGGTTGGTTTGAAGAGGAAACCAATTTTGGGGGGGCCCCTAAAGGTGGACACCCATATGAGGTGATTGCGCTGCTGATCGCCCAGTGTTGTTTTTTCGCCACCAGTGGAGCAGCTTAGAGGCTCAGACCAACTTTGGGATATACTCCCCTTGCAAATCTCCTTGTTGGGGGACCCGTTTTAAGGTTCCAGCTCAATTAGCAAGGGGGTATTCAAGAATTCTTGACAGAGGTGTTGTTGCGGGGAACCTCTGCTTGGCTTTACAGGCCAAAAGGAAGCCCGATTTCAGGGGTCATAACGCTGAGACAAGCCCGGGCCGTAATACGGCATGATTGTGGGTGGACAAACAAACATCCTGCACCTGCTGGGATAGATCCAGCCGTATGAAATACACTTATGTTTGTAGTACTGTGGATGGACGAAATCCATTTCGCACCGCTTTGAAACCATGGTTGACACCATTTGTTGTTTGGTATTTACAAGGAGATCTATCATTTCAGGGTTTCTTAGGTGCAGGATTTCGTCCATCCACCGTATGCCTAGAGCCAGGAGATAGTGAACCGAACGCCGTGATCCCGGCGCAGGGTTCGGGACCCGAAGAGTCGAAGCGTTTCGCGTCGAGTCGAAGCGACTCGAAGGTGCTCGGGGACTACAGGGAGCACGAGCGCGCCCGGCGCCCAGGGAGCCGATGAATCTGATGACCAAAACCTTTCACTGGCAGCAGGTGGTTCCTCTGGGTTTCATGTTGGTTTCACGTTGGGTTCCTTCTCTTGCTGTCCTTTGGTTTCCCCAGATTGCCGGATGCCGGATGCCAGATTCTTGTCTTTTTCTATGGAGCCCCGAATGGGTTTAGCGGAAACCAAAAGCAGCCAACCAGTTTTGAGGGTCCGAGTCCAGTTGATCCTTCTGCAACTTGTTGGCCTTTTCACTTGAATTGAACATTGGGAGCCGCACGGAACCAACTTCGGCGTCATGCCGCTTGAAGGTGGCGTCCAAATAGTAACATATATTCTGGACAACAAACTCTCAGTTGCCCAAAGCGAATCGAGCTTTTGGCCTGTTGGTTTCCTCTTGTTGGTCTGCGTCATGGCCCCCAAAGGTGATCACCTTGTCTTTCATGAACCCATCCGGGGCAGCTGAGCAAATGGGTTCTGTTTCGCAACCCGTTGGATAAGTGATTTAGACAGCCAGTCGGAAAGATTCCAAACGGGCGTTGTTTCATGGGCTTCAACATGATTGAGCACGTGGCCCTATTTTACTGCTTACCCTCCTCCCAATCATGGGCGTGGGTGGGGGGCCAATTATCAAGAGGACAGCAACCTTCCTGAACCTTGTCCGCTTCCATGGTGTTGGTGTCCCTTGCTTTTGGAGGGGGGGGGAATGGTTATGGGTATGATTAGAGCGTATAATTAATGATGAATGTGGTTGTGGGTATGATTATGGTATAGAGTGTATAGTTGTTCCTTCAAAAAATGGTACCCTCCCTCCAATCATGGAAGCTGACAAAATGGATGGTCTTAGAAGGCTACTTTTCTTCAAGAACAAGTAGCAAACAACGTGCTCGCTTCTTCGCATGCCTGGCTCCCCACTTCGCTCATCTTTCTTTCGGCCAGATGGGGTCCCGTGGCGCGCTCCGCGCGCTCGTCCCGTGCCGTCCTGGCCGCGCAGGCCATGACGCACTTCAAGTTTGGGTGAGCGGCAAGCGCGGGATTCCCAGGATTCCCAGGAGGAGGGAAAGAAAACCAACTTTGTTCAGCCGAGCCTTCATATTGGCGCCAACTTGTTTTCCTCTTGGGTAAGGGTTCCAATTCCGTTAAACTCAACCAAGGCAATTAGGGTGCCGATTCTTTTTCTCCATGGAAATCCACTGGGCATCGGGTGGATTGGCGGTTTGGGGATTTGATTGAAGGTAAATGGGAAACCACTCTGCAAACCAGCCATGGAATCCACCCCCATGAAACTCAGCCAACGGGTGCTGCTCAATTTGGGCTCAACTTGGAACGGACACCAAAGGCCCAAATTTGTGGCAGTCCGGATCCCTACTTTGACACAAGCGCGATCGGTTTTGCCTCAGGTTCGGCGAAGTTGGTCTAGTTTGTGGCTTGGATTTGTGGTTTGGGGCTTGGGGCCATGGTTTGTGATGGTAAGGCCCCTACCAACCCAGCCACCCAGCTCAGTTGCTGAAGGCTGAAGGCTTATTCCAGGGCTTCCGAAATTTCCATGTGGTTCAAACATCGGGTGGATCTTCGGTGATTGTCCTTGAGGCATTTCCCCTAGAAGGGCAGCCTTGGGCTTGCTGGAAATGCACCCCTGGCTTTAAATCCGCGGTTCCGCGGATTGAAAGGGAACCGAACGGCAAACCAGAGTAAAGAAGGAAGCACACTAATCTTGACTTTAGGTTGTTTCTTTTTTGGCGGGGAGAAACATCTGGGTTCTTGTGTCCTGTCGGTACCCTAAACCAGCCCTGGACTCGCGGCTTTTTTCTCGGCGAATTACGCTTCGAAAACCCCCGCTCCGCTGAGGCGCTGACACTGAAGCGCTGGGATGTTTGACAGGAACGTCACTTGGAGAGGTTCTCAAAGTTCAACTTGGGGGCCTTTGAGAACCACTAAAAGTCGCAAAACTGCGGTTCACATGTTTTTTGTTTTTTCCCTCCGGCGGTTAGGTGGTGTTTCTGTTCATGCTTAGGGCGTGCAAAGACCAAGTTGTTTGCAAAGGCTTGGGCAGCTAGGTTTAGCTTCGCGAACGCCAGACTTTGGTAGATGGTTTCGTGGGAGGTTCCCCTTCTAAACCACTGATCCAAACGCAATGGAGGGAAGCTGATTGAAGCCACAAGTTGGGTCAGTTTGACGTCTAGCCCCGCATCCATTCAACTCGGGCGTTGCAAAGCCTTTTGGAGACTTCGCTGAACCTAGAAAAAGCGAGTTGAAATGCCACGTCTCATTTCAGCTTTTGGAAAGAAGCTTTTGTGGATTCCTGTGAGATGTCTTGGAATTCGTGCAAGCAAAAATTAGGGAGCTTCCAAGTCTTCTTTGCAGTTCTTGCAAGGAAGACTCGGCGGTTCGCTGGCTAGCTGACCACTCACCCCAAGGGTTTGTGCGTGCATCAAGAGGCCAAGATTGCTCATATATGGGTGTTTTTTTTTTAGTAGCCCTTTTGGGTAGTGTTTGAAGCGAAACAAAAACAACCGCCACCAGTTTTTGCGGTTAAACAAGTCATACCCATATGTGCCATGGCCAAGATCTCCTTTCAAAGGAACAAATCTCCTTCGACTGAGTCCAGATACGATTTATGTTTTTCGACTTTTGATTTTCCCATGGTCCATGTTGTAAGACCCCAAAAGGTCCTTACCCTTTGCCAAACGGTCCTTGGAGCATGCGGAAAGGAGTTCTGACCATGGCTGATATATCAGATGTGTCACCGACTAGAGACGAATGTGCCGTAGGCAGCCGACGCAGGCGTTGAGCTCGTGTATGCCAGAAAGAAGAAGGAACTCGCGTGGATGGAATCGCAATGCTTCTAGCGAGCTCGAACGTTTTTTCTGGGTTAGGATTCTCCACCTGGAACATTTCCCCACGGATAAAGGGGCAGTTTCGTTTTGACACGGTGGCAACACGCCTATCTTTCAGCCGCGAACGATATTTCACAGGAGAGCGGGGACCTCATCAAAGGGGAGGCTTTTTTGGGATTCCTTAGTGTCCAATTCGCGTCGTATTCCGGCCACGTGGATGGTTGCGAACTCCATTTCTAGCGAAAGAACCCCACGGAGTGATAGGATTCCCCCGGAAGTACCAACAAACCATGGTTTCAAGCCCCCTTTGTGGTTTTCAAGGGCATCCATCAGGCAACTGACCATGTTGGGGGTTCTCCATTTCAAGACAAGCCCACATCGGAAAAAATATATTAACCCGAGATTTGTCCAATATCGTTGAACCATGTAATGATTGGATGTCAGGCTGGTTAAAAAAAGAGAGAATGAATTCTCCCTCAAGTTCATGTTTCGAAGTTAAGCTGGGCATGGCTGCGCTTCAACCGCTAAACACGTGCATTCCGTAATTATGATGTTTGACCGCTCGAGTCGACAATTGATTAAACCAATGAACTAAGATACATTGTCCCAATGCTCATTGCTGAGCAAAAAGCCTTGCCACATGTCGGCGTGTGGAATAAACATGCCGTCATTCATTAACGACACGTAAACACACCAGGAAAACAAAAGCCATCACAAGTGTAGGTTTAAGATAGGCACCAACCAACACTGGAGGTATGTCCGCGAGCCAATCACCCAGCAACAACAAGAACGTTGGCTATCCTGACGAAATTTGTGTAGCGTTCTGCGAGTGCAAAGATACTGCCCCCTTTTGTTTTAAATAACCCAGTTTCCCAGTGGATTCCAGGGTTTTCCTTTAAAGTGAACTAACTAGAAAAGGATGCCGATTCTTTCTTTCCCCTGGCCACTGGGCATCTGAGATCATCTCCATTCCATCCTCGCACTTCAGAGGGATTGGTTCAACTGTCATGCATATTGGGAACCATTACCCCTCCTGCCTTCAATGGGAGACAGTACTGCTCAAAAACAGGTTTCAACCACCAACCCCCCGGTCAACTTCTATTACAGGCAAACCTAAATGGGGTTATTTGAGCAATCTGGCGGAGGTTGTCAAAGCACGTAGGGTGTACCAACATGTCTAAGCCTGCTTTCCGGAACTCGGACTTGATCGGGCCACTTTTGGGGCTGTTGCCTTTATATCATTCTTGGACCACTTGAAGTATTCGGACTGTTTGTTTTGGACCTTTATATCACATTCATTTTTGGACTATTGTGGTGTGTTCCTTTTGGACCTTTTTGCCTTTTTGGACCATTGTGTTTTGTTCTTTTTGGACTATTTTAGCAGATTCAGTGGCTGCATTTTGGCCAACCATGGCAAGGTTGGGGGTTGAATCGGCACAAAGCTACCGACCCGTAGCCAGCCGAGTTTTTTCTTTCGGCTTACGGGCGAAGCCGACGGGGCGAGAAGCGATGGAGGACGATGAGCTGATGCTGCCGGGGGCCCCAAAGGTCTAGGGATACCTTCCATTTCCATTCTGAACCCAGGGATCCGGATCTTTCTCTCCGAAAACCTCAGGAAGCCCAGGTTCAAAACGGATCCGGTGTTTGAAAAGAAGGATGGTTGGAAAGATGGGGAATCAACCCCTAGAAAAGGGGCCAAAGTTGAGAACAGTTCAGCCTGCTTAAGTGGGTAACCAAGGATATAACTCTTACTGAATCCATTTGCCTGGTTTAGGCAGGTAACAATGGGAACCACCCAGGAGGAGAATTGCTAGTAGGTATGAGAAATTCTGGGTAGCTACCACTTGCTGAAGAGTGTCTTGTTAATTTCGCCCTGTTGGTCTTCAAGGGAATCGATTTCACTCCTGGATGTATTTTGTTTCCAGACTGACAAAAAAAGGGAGGGTGAGTAACTGGAAACGATGTCTAGTAAGAGAGCACCCTGAGAGAACAACTATAGTGGTACTGGCTTGAGTTCCGTTTCGGACTGGATCTTCTCTGGGTTTGTCAGGGCCATTTAGCCTTCCCACCAACATGGAACCAGAGGGTCCATGTCAAAGGAATACGCTGTAGGTCAAAACCAATGGTACCATTTTGGGGTAGGTGCACCACCCATTTTAGAACCTATTTTAGTTGGGATTGGGATGTTCACTGGGGGTACGGGATTTTGACCCATGGCCATCTGGTCTTCCAGAGAATTCTGTGTCAGGTGCCATGTTGATGGAGGGGGACAACCAAAACAAACAGTTTGGGGGGTTGTCTTGGCCGATGACACTTCGGGTAGACAATTGAATGAGATCTTCCCCTCAAAGATAGAAATGGGGGAGGGGGAATTTCGACCCCGGGAGATCTAATGGAGGTGGGGGACCCCCACTCCCCTCCCTCCCCTTAAGGTAGGGGGGTTGGACTCCCTTTGGTTTGCTTTTGCCAATGTCATCCCTGTGCCACGGTGTTCACTTCAATGATGTTGTCAGTTTTTGTTTGGTCTTTTGTTCCTACTCATTTTAGAGATGCAAGCAACACTGTGTGTTTGTAGGTGTTTAGTTTTGCTTGGTCCTTTTCGTTTTTAGCAGAGGGTTGCAAACACAGTCAGTTTCTGGAACTAGGTCCCCCAGTAGTGTCCGTTTACCCTTTTTTTGGGGAGGGTTCCCCTACTAAAGTAGACTACAGGAAAAAGAAACGGTACCCTTATTCTATCCTCTCTACTGGAGGACGTAGTAAACCATGTGCCTGATCCAGTGGAGATCGATCCAACCCGGATGCGAATCTGGCTACCTTGGGTTTCAGGAGGATCAGCCTTTCGTCCAGGTGCGCATCCGCGCCCGGATCAAAGCCGTTTTGGGATCCTATACCCATTTTAGGCTTCATTTTGGTGGGATTGTTGTTTTTTCTTCTTCTTTTTCTTCTGGGGGTATGGGATTTTGACCCATGGCCATGTGTCCGTGGAGCCCACGAACAAGAAGCCAGCAGAGCAACTGAGTCGTAATCAAATCCTGGTATCAATACTGTGGATGGACGAAATCCTGCACCACTTTGAAACCATGCGAAACCATTGTTTGTTGGTATTTAAAGGGGAATCATCATTCTAGGGTTTCTTGGGTCTACCCAAGAATTGAAAGGGCGGCTGCGCCCATTCATGGTTGGGACTCTCCCTTCATTTGGCCGGGCTTTGAGCACGTGGCTCAAGTGACAAGACCCCCATCTAACTAATCCACGTGAGCAAAAGGACGAGAAGACACATTTATTTAGGGGTTGATTCCCCAGTCTTTTCAACCATCGTTGTTTCAAAAACCTGCCATTTCCCCAGGGTTTTTGGTGGTTTTCTAGAAAGAAGGATCAATGGAAAGAATGGGGAAGTTACCCCTAGAAAAATGGTTGGACGCACCTGGACCAACTTGCTCCTTAGGTGTAGGGCTCCGAGCGACCAGGCGGGGTCGACTTGTGGTTTGACCGGTCGGTGATGTTGATTTCCGTTACCTTCGTGTGCTTGGGTCAACTATCTGCTGAATTGGTGGTTTCTGGAAGCATGTTTTGCAAAGGGAAATGCAGCCGAACCATTTCGTGGTTTGTGAAAATCTCTTACTTTTCTTTGTCACTGATTCCCATCATTTCCCATAGGTGGATTCCACATGATCAACTCGGTTCCTCGCGAGTTCCTGGGCTTCAGCCACGTTTTCGTTTTTTCTGGGCACGCAAATTTCCCGGGCAATCTGAGTTGATCGGTTTCAATCAGCCCTCTGATTCGGAGTTTTGTGGATTAGAGATCTGGAGATCGAGCTCCAGGGTGTTCAATGAGCGTCAGGTCAGTGTGTGATTGTCTTTCTTTCTTGCTTTTTTGTTTTGTGTAGTTTTCTTCTCAGCTGGTTATAAGGCTCACTTCCCGACTTCCTGGACTTTAGTGAGGTTTTGGGTTTGGACCATTTTAATGGAAAACAAAAAGCTTGGACTGTTTGGGCCAATCCACTCAGGAGAAGGTGACCAATCCCAGTTACCCCAGTTCTGTCACCATGGTTGCGACTTACTTACTAAGTTGGTTGGACATCCAAGTGGCTCTCGCACAAAGGATGTGGCTGATCCCCGTGTCCATTTGGGAGGGACATGCTGGGACGGTCAGAAGCTCCCGATGGCCTGCTACAGTGAATCGTGTCAAGATAGTGGCCCGAGGCAAGACGATGAGCTCACACTTTACCAGAGCTCTCGCATGGGTTTGCTGTGCAGTATGCCGCCTAGGCCTATGGCTGAATGCTGAACATGGGGACACGAGCTCTAAATTTTCCCATACCCAGCTTCCATTTGTGTTTCAGAAATCTGTCTTATTTCCCATGGTGGTTTGGAGGGAACCGATTTCACTACTGGACAAATCTTCATGTTTTTTTTGAGGAGGCGAAGAAAGCAAATGGATAGGGGGGAAGAACCACACTTTTCTCATGACTCTTAGGGGAGTTCATCCAGGCCTCGCGCCGAGTTTCTTGACGTCCGGTTCCGGTGTGTAATTGGTTTATATAGTGAAGGGCTTCCATTTCCCAAAGTCTAAACTAGCAAAATTAGAAGGGATCTGAGCCCAACAAAAAAGCACCTTTGCTACAATCCCTGTTTCTTGAAGCAAGTTATTTTAGACAATTCAAGATGTGATGTGCTTAGTGGAAAGCAATCTCTTGGAAAAACAAATCAGGGTGACTTTTAGAAACTCACCAGCCCAGTCAGCTTTCTGCACTCACTATCAAGAGCTCGCCTGGTTATGAAAGCAAGATCATTGCTGAAGTCTAGTAAGAACTCGGGTGTTCAACCAACTTCGGAAGCAGGTTGCAAGAAACACCGGTTATAACTGGGGAAACTGGTGTGATCGTCTCCAAATAACGAGATAACCTACTTACCGAGTTGGTTGAACACCCAAGTATAGATCTTTCCAAGTTTAGAGCGGCTGCGTAAACCCAAATATGTGGCACTGTTGCAACGATTGTCCAAAGTCATCGGGAGAACGCAACTTGGGCTTTGTGCTTTCTTGCTTTTCGAGCGGGCTAACCGACCCGAAAAGGGTACCCTCTCAAAACACATGGAGTTAATTAAACCGCTTTGTGGAGGGAGGGGTTTCCCACCCCAGGAAAACCTAAGGCTCCAAGCCACCCTTTGCTTCGCTGTTCTTGGCATGTTTTGTTTGTTTTTTGGGTTGTTTTTTGGTTCTGTTCATTTTTACTAGTCTCTGCTCAAGCGCCTTCCAGCAGGCGAGACGGAGCAGGCCGAGGCTTGAGGTGTAGTTTCCCACTTTGCGCGCCATGCACCTTGAGCCGGACCTTCGCGCCGCACACGGCGCGTTGGTCAATGCAGTTGTGCTCGTCGCCGGACGAGGCACACATGTGTTGGGCATTTTGCCCCTGAGCCGCCAGGCCTGCCGCATTTGCACTGAGGACCCTTGCCCGGATGGGGTTGTTGCCCTCTTGCAGTTTGAGGTGCAGTGCGTAGATGACCAGGTTTACCTCTGCCAGCACAGCCTTGGAGTGATTCATCCGCATAAGCCTGCCCAGCTCCCTTTCTTGACCCAGGTCATTGAACTGTGTGCTGGCATTGCTGCCACGTCCCAAGGTGCCAAGCAAGCTGGATTTGTGCCCACGGTTGCTGTGGAATGGAGGCCACCAATCCATAAGTTGCTACGAGCCAACTTTGAAGGTGAGGCCTTGCTGGCGGACATCACATGTCCGAGCACCGTTGCCAAAATCGCCACCGTTTGCCATGGTGCACAAAGCCTCACAGCAGGCGTGGCATGTCAGCCATACAGCCGCGGAGGAGATGGCTTCAAAGGTCAGGACCAACGTGCAGGTACCCTCCCGTGGACCTTGCTCACATCGTATCTCCTAGGCTGCCACATAACCATCCTGGAATGCGTTGCTGAAGCCCATACCGATAGCTATGTTCAAGCCCACATCCGGCAATTTTGTGAGAGCACAGGCAGTGAGTGCTCGCAAACTGTCATGCAGCTGTCACAGGTATGGCCTTGCCGTAGGAGCCGATGGTGGTGTGTGATCACCTCCCCAGCACTAGGTAAGATCCCGCTTAAGCAATGGATCGAGGACAGCACAAAGCAATCCATCCGAACCGTGATGCCAACCACCCCTGAGTGGCCAGCAGCAGATGTGGCACAGCTTGAGCTCGATGCCTATGAGCTCAGGAACTTCCATGAAAACTCGCCAGGATTGCAACAGCTCGAGGTCGATCTTAGCCATGTGTTCCCAACCGCTCTCCACTCCTGGGGAAACCAGCTGCAGGGTTGCCGCTGTGGGTGCCGATCCGATGGCTTTCGCCATGAGAGAATTGAAGCCAGAGGCCTATGGACACCTCTCTTCCGGTTGGAAGGTGAATGCTGCATTGAGGGAGTCCAATGGCCCAGATACCGACATCCGCATCCCGCTGAAGTGGCCATCCTGTCTGGCATGATGCCGCTGGAATGCACAAGCGGCGATCAAAGACTTGACCTTTGTGCTGTGGGTCAATTAGCATCGCCAATGCAAAGCCTGTGGATTTTCTCGCAAGTGCACAGCTGGGCCATCAATAGGTTTGGGTTGCCACCGATGCTTGCCTCGCCAACGCAATTGCTTGCTATGTTCAAGCAAAAGCTGGTAGCCACGTGCCAGGCCCTGCTGGCACCATACATCCCAAGGCAGATCTCACATGCCTGTGAATCTCAGGAATTTGAGGACGCTATCATGGCAGACCTCAATGAGCCCATGCTGGAGCCCACGTGCTGGGTGGTTGGCCCAGGCACGCAAGCTGCCATACCCGTTAGATTCAGCATTGGAACCACTGTAGGTCAGCTTGAGCAAGCCGAATGTAAGCTCACTCACTGGACACCATCCCATGGGGAGGTCATCAGCACCACCTCGCAGATGCCAGTTGCAACGCATGAGCTCCTTCAGTCTGAGCAGTGTATTTGCATTTCCGTAGGCCCCCCAGCCATGCCTGAATCCCGCGGGATTTTCCCTCCAACCACACCAGTTGAAATGGGAACTTTGCCAGCCACCACCCAGCTTGTTGCCGAGGCATCCCCGATTATGAGCACCATGAACCAATACCTGTCCATCCGAGCTGACAATATCACGACCAAGCAGCGGGCACACCTGGCCGCCGCCAGAGGTCCCATTTGGGCCGATGATGAGATGCATTTCCATCTCCACGTCATTGCCCAACATGCATGTGAGCAGCACAGGATTGTAGTGCTTGACCCGTTAATCACCACAACTGCCTATGAGCATGACTCTGAGATACTCCGCCAATGGAGAAACAGCGTCAACCCGCAGGAAGACACCATTGCCATCACCGCGTTGCGACTGGAAGGACACTGGATCCCGATCCTGGTACGCTTCGGTCCTCGCATCACTCTTACCACATCAGCTTCCGATACGCAATCGGTTGAGGCAGTGCGCCAAGTTGGCCAGCTGATCCAGGGTGACCAAGTGCAAGCAATCCTTGAGCACCTCTCAGGTCCCTGCGGACCCTATGGCACATGCGGCCCGGCCGCTATCATCTGCATCCACCAGCACCTCACCAACCTGCCCAGCCCAGCCACGCCTTTCCTACAACAATGCTGGCAGATGCGTCAAACGTTCATGCAGTACCTTGCCACCAGGTCTTTCTGCCCCGTCCCTTGCATTTGGGGAGCAGGCAGTAGGAGCGCTTCCGACCCCATCGAAGAGGACTCCCCCGTGTATCCAGGAGCCTTCAGTTCTGGACATGCTCATGACACAGCAACCAGGACATGCTGGGCAGTCGGCCCAGGCACGCAGGTTCCAACTCCCGTCAGCTTCCGTGCAGGAGCAACAATCGAGCATCTCCAACAGGCCGAAAGCCACCTGGCCAACTTTGCCGCCGACCAAGGGACCCAGGTCAGTGCCACACTGTTACCACCAGCCACTGCCAGTGATCCCATCCGGGACAACCAGCGCATCTATCTGTCCACAGCCACGTGTGCCGGTGGAGTTCAACTCCCAGCTGATCTCAATGACAGGCTCGAGCCTGTCGCACCCCATGGACCACCAGCCCTTTCCGGAATTGCCAACACGCCAGCTCCACGTGCGGAATCATTGCTACAGTGCCTGGCACTCAGGGCCCACTGCATCCCGGCCCTGCATAGGCTCCAACTCGTGGAGACAAACGGGCCACTGTGGGCCGATGATGAGATGTACTTCCACCTCAGCCAAATCCCACAGGACTTAGGGCACCCTGAATGGCTAGTCGTCCTGGACCCGCTCATACCAACCACTGCGTACGAGCAGCAAGTGCCCACCCTCCGTCAGTGGGCGGACAGCTCCCAGCTTGCGTTCAACACACATGTCATCACCGCCCTGCGGGTTCAAGGGCATTGGGTGCCGATCATCATCCAATATGGAGCGCAGGTGAGAGTCATCTTCTACGATGCCACCACAGTGCACATTGATGC